ACAGTCATGCCAAACTGGTTCAAAACCAAAAAAAGTCCATGCTCAATCGTCCAGGTATACAATCCAACAATTTTCAGTCAGGTAGATGAAAGGTGAAAAGGTGAAACGTTTCAGCAAAAAAAAAAAAAAAAAGAAACTGTCCAAATGACCTGACTGAAAATTGTTTGATTGTAAATCTGGATTATTGAGAATGGACTCTTTTTGGTTTTGAACCATTTTGACATGACTGTCGACGAAGAAGAGGGCCAGAACAAGAGGAGGGGGCGTGCCAAAAACACCATCTTAGCACCAACATAACTGGTTTGTTCCATTTTGGAGTAAGCTTTTGGGGGAAGAATCAGTTTTGTGTTGTGTGTTTCCTTGACTGATGAATCGTTCCGGATAGAAGGTGAAATGTTTCAAGGATAAAAAAAAGAAACTGTCCAGATGACCTGACTGAAAATTGTTGTATTGTATACCTGGATTATTGAGCATGGACTTTTTTTGGTTTTGAACCAGTTTGACATGACTGTTGATGAGGAAGAGGGCCGGCACTAGAGGAGGGGGCGTGCCAAAGCCACCATCTTAGCACCAACATAACTGGTTTGTTCCATTTTGGAGTAAGCTGTTGGGGGAAGAATCAGTTTTGTGTTGTGTGTTTCCTTGACTGATGAAGCCTTCCAGATGGAAGGTGAAACGTTTCAGCACAAAAAGAAACTGTCCAGATGACCGGACTGAAAACTGTTGGGATTTTATACCTGGATTATCGAGCATGGACTTTTTTGTATAAATAAAGGGTAAATGAAAATGAAAAATCCATTCTGTTTTATTGTCATTTAAAAACAGGAAGTTCTTGTTTAGCCAATGTTTGATTGCAGAGATACAGTCAAAGAGAGAAAGCATTGGGTACTGGATCCTGGCCTTAATGGTAAATAGATTTTCAAATCATCTGCATAAAAAATGAAAGTTGACATTTTGGTGTATTATGTGGGGCGGCTGTTGCCGAGTGGTTAGAGCAGTCGTCCTCCAATGCAAGAGTTGGGGGTTCGAATCCACCAGCAGTCACATGTTGAAGTGTCCCTGGGCAAGACACTGAACCCCTCATAGCCTCTCATGTGTGTCCCATCATTGTATGAATGTGATCTAAAGCACTGACTAGTCTCTTTAGAATGATTTGTTCAATTAGCTTTGTAGAGATCTAGTAGAGTGCTG